GGAGGAGGAAGAGGAGGAGGAGGAGGGGGAGGAAGGGAACACGGCAATGACTGGAAAGGAGTGAAATCGGCAGATAACTTACACCCTCACTTCAACTGAAATAAAATGCTGCCAACTCCTCTGAGAGACCCCAATGGAAAAAGTCTTTTCCTAAATAAAAAAGAGAAGTAGAAAGGGCCTTAGTTTTTTACTGGCTTGAGAAGTTGATGTCACTATTCCAAGTTGATGTCACAGGCCACATAGAGAGAAAGCCCAGCAAGTTATAGCATTGACTTACTGAGCCAGTATTTATCACAAATCCACCCATGTGGCAGGCAGTAGCCGAGTGAGCAGCACAAGGACCCAGCCTGGCAGAGTTAGGATTAGTTCAGAATTTCCCGAGAGTGGTGCTAACTTGTGCTTAGCTCATTTCTTTTGGTTCATGGAGGTTTGGTCCTTCCTGGTGCTATCCCTGGGTAGTGGCAGGCAGGAGAGGGCGGCACACACCATTTGATGTTACTAAGATCATCTATAGTAATAAAAGGGTAATGTGCTAATTAGACTGGACATCTTCAGGACATTATTCCGGAAGTCCTTCCTGACAAGCCGGGGCTGGAGGGAAGCCAGCCCAGGTCCCGGGTGCCTGCTGGCAGCTAGAGGAGGGAAGCGCGGGTCCCAGGTCCCGGGTGCCAGAGGGAAGCCAGTGCCGGCAGCCGCAGGAAGGAAGGCCTACTCTTGCACGAATTTTCATACATTGGGCCTCTAGTAGCATAATAAAAGGGCTTGCCTTTATTTAAAAGGGCACCACTTAACTGCAAAGTCATAGGTTTTTCTGGTAATTACTGTGTGGGACTATGGAAGAGCTCACCTTGGTTTACTTTGAACTTTGTATGGGAATATCATTAGCATTTCTAACACATGTTTTAAAATATAAACTATGAATATGGGCAATTATTCAGCTGCGAAATAAAACCCAGAAGCCAGCATGACGACACTCTTCCCACCTGTACTTTCCCACATGGGGAAATGAGTGGAGGCCAACGTGATGGGCCCAAGGTGGGGTTTGCTGGACTAATTATTTTAGCCCCAGGCCACTGGGAAGGACTCTGGGAGGAGGCAGGTAGGTTCATGGACTCTTCTTCCCACATTCCCAGCAGGCACGCTGACCGCTGACGACGCTGACCGCTGACGACAGAATTTTCACATGACCTCATTTTGATTCATTCTCCCAGATTTTTACAATATATGCCAAGCCCTAGCCCGAGGCTGCTTGGTGCTGTGGGATAAAATGCCAAGCAATTGTGTACTTAAGAAATGAGCTGTGAAATGCCACATAGTCCGTCCTGCCCAACCTCTGCCCCAGCAAAGTGAAGAGCTGAGTCTGAAGTTTGCTCTTACTGTAATGCTGGCTGTTGCAAAGTGCCTGAGGCAGATGGCAGCTCTCTCTTTTCTTTACCTACACCTCCTCCCTTCACAAAAAATTCCAGCAAAGAGGATTCTCTCTGTGGAGCAAAAGTCAGGGTTAGGCCGGCTCTCTGCTGGCCTCTGTGGCCCCTGTGACTGCAGATGCTCCCTTGCCATGGCCACCCCTCCCCTCCGGGAGTGGGAGACTTTACTATTCCCTGTGAGATTTTGCATAAGCAGCTGAGCTGTAGGAAACACCGTTTTATTTTCCTCTGTGATGCAAACCTGAAAAGATGATTTGGGGTAGAAATTCAACAAATATGTTGTCAGATTGAGCTTGCCAAGATGACAAATTAGAAAAATCTTGGCCCTTGGTGATGTTTTTGTACTTGCAGAGAATGAAAGAAAATTCAGTCCAAAGGGGGTCTTGTCTCCTGGCCAGGATGGAACTTTCAGGTGTTACTGATGACCCCCTCTTGGCACCGTTTCCTTCCGAAGGCAGTCCGTTACACGCGCTCGGGGACAGTTCCTACACAGTCCCAAGACCAGAGTGGCTTTCTTATCTGCCCCCCCCCCCCCCCCCCGCGTGCAGATAAATCCAGGGTGTGCTGGGATGGGTGGCCTGCGGTCTGCGAGCTTCATTGTTCTTAGTACAAAACTAGCCTTTTTCTACAAAGATGTATTAAAAACACATCTTCTGAACAAGAACGATAGTGCAGGTCAGCTGCCAGGGCTGACTGTGGGCAAATGGGGGGATAAGGACCTTTCTGCACAAAAGCTCGTGGAACTCCATTGTCCGAGAATGACAGCGACCCTCCAGGGCTAATTAATCAATTCGTCGTGTTCCGAGATCCCACCAGAACCTCCCACTGCCGCTGCCGGGCACGCCTCCCTCCGGGCAGGCTCCTGTAGACGCCACCGTTCTTACCGTTAGCGTTAGCGGAGGCAGCGAGGCAGCAGGTGCACTCGGGGGACAATGCAGGGAGGGACCTGTGTCTGTGGCACCTTCTCTGCTTTGGCTTGGACAGCGGCCGGGTCCCGGTTGATCCAGAAGCAGCTGGAGGCTTTTTGTGGCAGGTCATCTTTTCTATGCGGTGTCCTCCTGGAAGCGCAGGCGGGAGCCCCTTGTTCCCAGTCAGGTGAGAAAGGAGGCAGGTGCTGGTAACCACAGCAAGTCCACCTCATTTTCCCAAAGTTCTCACAGGTTCCCTCCATGCCCTGAGCCTCCATGGTGGGCCCCCTGTTCTCGTCCCCATCCACTCCCTCCTGGTGTCTCCGGCTCTGCTTCCCTCAGGCCACCCCACCTCCTTCTAGAAACTTTTCTTGGCACTTGCCTTACCTGACACCTTCATCCTAACTAATCCCTCCCGGTTCCCACCTCAGGACTAGACCCCAGACCCTGAGGTCTTCCTCTGTAAAGTTGCCTCAGGAGCCAGCACTGGGGACAAAATGGCCTATGTGTAATGTAGAGTCTGCTTAGCTTTTTTAAAAATTTGTGTCTTAAATATATAAATACAATATAACAAATGCTCAGTGAGCGACCAGAAGCCAAGGAGACAAGCCACACACATTAGAAGTTAAGCATCAGGATGAGGGCCGAGCAGAGGGCAGCGGATGAGCCAGAGCCCAGATTTGGGTCCTCAGCCCAGAGGAAAGAGCAGAAGTGGGCCAGTGTGATCCCAGAAGCCACTCATCCCTGCATGGCCCCGGCACGTCCTTCAGCCAGCCTCCACCTCTGTGCCCTCATGTGAGAGGACTCATGACCGTCGCCTTTTGTGGTGGTGGTGATGAGGGAGGACAGAATATAGGCAAAGGGTTTGGCCTTGTAAAGGAAAATTGATATTGACAGCTATCACAAGGTATTGGCAAAGCTTGTATGCCTATGGATTGATATTGAGCTCAGAATCCATTTTTTATTCTTTTACATGTCTGCTCATAATAATAGTTATATTTATTCTTTGGGGTTTTATGGAAAACCCCAGTCCAACTATTTATAATTACTGAACATGTGTAACTGTCAATACTCTTTTTTAAAAAGAGAAAATTGATATAGTCCTACCTGAAAATTTTTGGCCATTATATTTATTTCTGTGAAAATTGACACAAATATTTGTTCATCCTTGACTTCACAGAAGTCTAATAAAGACAAGCTAAGTAACATAAAAGAGGAAGTGAGAAATGGGAGGTGTGTTTCTGGGATTCACATGTTCAATGGAATGATTGAAGATTCTGGAATTCTTAATTCATTTGCTATTTCCAGTAAGGCGGCTCCCTGTCTATGGATCTTTTTATCCTTAATTTAAATATTGTAGCTAGTAAAATAAAGATAGCTGGTGGAAATGAAAATTTGTGTGCTCCCAAAGCACAGCAAGTTGCCCCTCCCCCATTATCTTTTATCTGTAAATTGAGGGTCTGACTGCTCTACTGTGCATATGCTGCCCTCTAGTGGCAACATAGAGAAGGGCAGAAAAACGCAGGAACCAATTGTGGGGAGGAAAATGAAACTATCACCTAATTATTAGCATGTAATGATCCCATTCAGTGAAATTTCAAAAAGAAAACACAAAGCCAAAAATGATGTGCCAAATTCTGCCCAAATTGTTTCTAATCTTACTGAATAATTTTAAGGTATCTTTGATAGAAAACCAAACAGAAAATTGCTTTCATGGAAAAAATATATAAAGATATATTGCACATTATATATGCATGTGTACATACCTGTTTATGTATATATAGAATATAGGTAATTTTTTAATGGTCCCTCTAATCCTACCAAAAATCAAATATATTTCATGTGACATGATTTATTAACATAATGTATTAGTATGGTCAAGTTCATTGGGCATGATGAAGGGAGACTTCTGTATGGTGCTGAGCTCTGCTCCTTCAACCATGAATCCGTGTTCAGTCTCTCTTGTGGGTCTGTGCACTCTACCTGCCTGCATGTTAACCCATGTGTGGTCTTTACATG